GGTGGGATTTGTCTGCCCTGGAAAGGAGAAGTTGCCCTGTGCTGGGAGCAGGATTGAGGGGAATGCATTGGCTGGGGAGAGAATTTGGAAGGTGTCTGGGAGACAGGGGGGGCTCAGCCATGCAAAAGCAGGTGCCAAAAGCTGTGCAGTCTAAAAAGTGAACCCCAAAGGGCCTAAAAGACCTGGAAAGCCATCAGCAAAGCAGCCCCCAGGGACACTGCCTGACCCCACGGCTCATCCCTTCCTGTGCCCCTCCAGTGCAGCAGCCAGGGATGGAGGGGTCCCTGAAGCTCCTCTTGTCCTCCCAGCTTCACCACTGCCCTCACATTGTTTGTAGTACAAAATTGTATCAATTACAGCCCCAAAACTGGGCTGGTTTTGGAGGCTAATTTCAACGGAAATGTGTTGAAATTCCAGGGATGTGGCTGCTTTCTGCCTTCTGAGTCATGTGAGACTGATGCAGGCTCTGCTGAGGGCCTCTCCTCACACCCCAGCTCCTGTCCCCAGTGCCTTGGCCCTCACTGTCCATTATTCTGCTGCATGTTCTGCACCCCGAGTTCCTCAGTGCCCACAGAACCTGGAGAGATCCACGCTGGTGGATCCTGGAGAGATCCAGGTTGCTGGATAATGGAGAAATCCACTCTGGTGGATCCTGGAGAAATCCACGCTGGTGAATCCTGGAGAAATCCATGTAGTGGATCCTGGAGAAATCCATGTTGGTGAATCCTGGAGAAATCAACATTAGTGGATCCTGGAGAGATCCATGTTGGTGGATCCTGGAGAAATCCACATTGGTGGCTTGGAGCACAGCAATGTCCCAGAGCCGTGGAGCACAGCCAGCCCTCCTGGCTCATCTGCTTTGAGTTCAGCCCTCCTGCCTTGCTCAGGAGCCAGTGACCAGCTCAGGGCTGTGCTAACTCCCTGTCCCAGTCCCTGGGGGTTGCTGGGGAAGGGCAGCAGCATCTCCACGGCCAGGAGAAGAGGGTTTGTGTGACAGTGTTGTCCAATGATGAGGGAAGAGACGAGGATCTGACTCCATGTTTCAGAAGGCTGATTTATTATTTTATTATATATATTATATTAAAACTGTACTAAAGAATAGAAGAAAGGATTTCATCAGAAGCCTAGCTAAGAATAGAAAAAGGAAGAATGATAACAAAGGCTTGTGGCTCAAACAGAGTCTGAGCCAGCTGGGCTGTGATTGGCCATTAATTAGAAACAACCACGAGACCAATCATAGACCCACCTGTTGCATCCCACAGCAGCAGATAATCATTGTTTACATTTTGTTCCTGAGGCCTCTTAGCTTCTCAGGAGGAAAAACCCTAAGGAAAGGATTTTCCATAGAAGATGTGTGTGACAGGTTTGCAGAGGAGCAGTGTGGGAACAGCACTGTCCCCCCATCCCAGGAGTGAAGTCTGACCCTCCCTGGGGGATTTTCCCTCCGGGTTGCCAAGATCCCCTCGGGCTCTGGAGCCTGCAGGCTCCCCCAGATCCCCCCTCAATGCCAGCCCAGGGGACCCCTCAGGTTTGGTCCCCGGGCAGGGAAGGGTGGGATGCTGAGCCGGGGGTCCCATTCACAGAGGAGGCTTTGCAGGGAGCGTGAGGAGCCCGATCAGCCACAGGCTGAGCCAGTGACCCTTGGCTGCGATTTCCAGCCGTTGCCCAAGCCGGTCCCTTCCCGCCTTTACCCTAAATGCGTTTCCCGCGTTAAGGCAAGCCAGTTGGTGACCCTGGCCACGCTCCAAGCTCTGTGTCCTGGAGCGTGGATGCTCTGGAGGCAGGCGGGCACCTCCTGCCGAGAGAGCACCTGGGGCCAAAGCCAAACGGCCTTTGGCTGTCCCTACTTCCCATTAAGGGTCGGCGTTTGAAAGAAAACAGCGCTGAGCCCGCCCTCCGCTCCGCTCTGCCCGCGGGGCACCGTCCACCATCCCCGGGCACACCCCTGGGCACCCTCCCTGCTGCCATCCCTGCCGTGAAAAACGTCAATCGCTTGGTTTTAAAATTTTGAAAGTTTAATAGTAATAAAAATATTATAAAAATAGTAATTATAATATAATATAATATAATATAATATAATATAATATAATATAATATAATATAAATAATTATACATTATAAATATTATTCTATATTATAAATATTATTAAAATATTTTATAAATATATTACAAATATATTATACATAAATTCTATTATATTAAAAATATACTTTATATTATAAATAATGATATATTATAAATAATATTATATATTATAGATATTATTAAATAAATTATAAATATATTGCAAACTTATATTATATTATATTATATTAATTACATTATATGTATTACATTATATATAATATAATATAATATAATATAATATAATGTAATATGATATAATATAATATAATATAATATAATATAAATAATTATACATTATAAATATTATTCTATATTATAAATATTATTAAAATATTTTATAAATATATTACAAATATATTATACATAAATTCTATTATATTAAAAATATACTTTATATTATAAATAATGATATATTATAAATAATATTATATATTATAGATATTATTAAATATATTATAAATATATTGCAAACTTATATTATATTATACTATATTATATTAATTACATTATATGTATTACATTATATATAATATAATATAATATAATATAATATAATATAATATAATATAATATATATTCTATTCTATATATTATCTTAAAATAAATATATTAAGATATATTTTAAGATAAATGTATTATCTTAAAATATAATATAAAAATAGTAATACAATTAGAGCAATAATAATTTGGACAATTTGAATTAGGACAATGGGAGACAATAGAGACAAAGAACATTTTTTGCAACCTAACACTATATTTAACACGCTACTTAAGAGAATTAATACGGCATTCATTTCTATAATATTCATTTTAATATTTGCGAAAAGCCGACCATAACATACATGCATTTTTCACACCTGCCCCATGGCCCTCTTTGCCTGTGTGACACGCACGGGTGTCCCCCCCCCAGCCACCAGGGATGGAGCTGTGCCCATGCGAGGGGGAAGGAAGGAGAGGCAGCCTGGGACAGGCAAGGAGGCAGGAAAGGAGGAATTTGTGCGGAACTGAGCAGAGGAATGGCGTGAAGGAGCGCAGAATCCCCTGGAGACACAGGGAGATCAGTGCCGAGTGAAATAAACGCTGAGCGGGTGGTGGCACAGCATTGCTGCAGCGCTCGGGGGGCTTCTCCAGGCAGAGAGAGAAGCCAGGGTGGGGAAGGGGATGTAGCGAGGCCGGGGGAGCGAGAAGGAAGGGGAAGGAGGAGGAATCCCGACCCCCAACCCCTCCCATGGCAGTGCCAGGGGGGCTGTGCCCAGCTGACCCTCCCTCCTTTTCTCCCCTTTTTCCCTCCCGTCTTTGACGTGGGGCTGGGGCAGATTCCCGGCGTGGAGCTGTTGCTTTTTCAAAGTTTTCACCCTGGATTGCTGCCGGCTCCTTTCTCCAGCAGCTGCCAGCGGGTTAATCATTGCCGGGCAGCGCACACGCGTGTGTGCCGTGTGTGCCCCGCGTGTTTGCGTGTGTTGCTCCGTTGCTGTGTGAGTCATTCCCAGCCCGCCCGGGGCTCCGCCGCCCTCCCTGAGCCGAAAAAGCAAATTGAGCTCGGATTGCGGCGGGGACAGGGACGGGAGGAGCCGCGGCTCCGGGGGCGGCCGGGCTGGCGCTGCCCTTGACCTTGGACCCCTCTGCTCGCAGGGAATGCCTTGGGGAGGTTGGCTGTGCTTTGGGGTGCTCCGGTTCTCGCCGGTGTCCCCAGCTTCAAGGTGCAGCTGCTTTCCCATTTTTCTTTACCACAGAGCCCAGCTTTCCAAGCAGGAGGAAGCTGGATCCCCCCAGGACCCCCACCCACCTCCCGTTATTCCTAGGGCTGATTTTCCATTCCCATTTCTCACATACATAGGATCAACAACGCACAAGGCAGCTGCCTTCCCGTTTTTCCTTACCACAGAGCCCAGCTTTCCAAGCAGGAGGAAGCTGGATGCCCACAGGACCCCCACCCACCACCCCTCATTTCTAGGGTGTAAAAGGGTTGATTTTGGTTTTCCATTCCCATTTCTCACACACGGGAGGGTTTGGCTCCACGGCACAAGGCAGGGAAGGGGATGAAGTCCGAGTCTCTCTGGCAGCACTGGGAGTGCCGGAAGCGTTTGGCAGATGTGGAAATCACGAGTCTCAGCAGAGCTTCGAGGGAGACAGAGCACCCCACATCTGCTGGGAGCACTGGGAATCACCCCTGCTGGGAGCTGGAGATACTGGGAGGGGGATTGAGTGCCACTGGAGAGGGCTGGGAGGCAGGAGAACAGGAAACAGGGAATTGGGGTGGCGTGCTCACAAGTTGGGGAGTTACAAACTGGCACAGCTGGCACTGAGGAGAGCTGGGAAATGGGGAATGCCATTGCTGGGAGAACTGGGCAAAACCAGTGCAGGGAAGTGGGTAAGTGGGTGGGGGCACTCTGGTGCCCTAGACCTCAGGATTCAGGGGAACCCAACCAGGGTGTTTCGGGGCTGCATTTGTGTCCCTGGACTCCAGAGTTTTAGGTACCGCAGGATCCTGAATTCAGTGTGTGCCAGGACCCCCCACACCCTGGGGTCAGCTGCGGAGATGCTGCCTGCCCTGCCCCGTGGGACAGCAATGTCCTGGAGGTGCTCAGCCCAAGGGCAGCCCCTCTCAAGGTGCTCTTTTCCCTGGCCAAGTCCCCACAATCTTTCAATCCAGCCTCTGTCGGGGGAATCGCCCCAGAAAAGCGTGTGCAAGGGGGTTTCCCCGGACTGCGTCCCCAAATCCGCCCTCCCGAGTCCCCTTTACGCAGGGACATTTTCCCAGCCTCTCCTCAGGAAGGGCTGGGACTGATGCGAGCTGTCCCCACCCAGGTTTTGGATAACTCCACCCGCCGCCTCTCAGCTCCTCCTCCCGGCGAACAGCCCAGCTGGGATATAAGCGAGTCGCTCGGGGCCGCCGGGGAGCTGCCGCCACAGCTGGCCGGGTGGCGTGGGGACATCGCGCCGCGACCTGAGCCGTGCCCTTCGCCTCCACTCCGCACCCCGATGGCGACGCCTTCGCAAAAAAGGAGCACCCGCAGCGGGGCTTCGGGGACCCCCCTGTCCCCCACCCGCATCACGCGGCTGCAGGAGAAGGAGGATCTGCAGGAGCTCAATGACCGCCTGGCCGTGTACATCGACAAGGTGCGCTCGCTGGAGCTGGAGAACGCCGGCCTGAGGCTCCGCATCACCGAGTCCGAGGAGGTGGTGAGCCGCGAGGTGTCGGGCATCAAGGCCGCCTACGAGTCGGAGCTGGCGGATGCCCGCAAGACCTTGGATTCGGTGGCCAAGGAGAGGGCTCGGCTGCAGCTGGAGCTCAGCAAAGTGCGGGAGGAGCACAAGGAGCTGAAAGCGCGGTGAGTGCCCCGGGGATGGCGGGTGCTGCCGTCATGCTTGGCAGGGAGCCGGGAGGGAGGAAGGAGTGACCCGGAGAGAGGAAAAATCCGTGGCCTGGCCGGGGCTGGGGTGTCTGTGGTAGGGACCAAAAGAGGAGAGAAGCTGTCTCGTCATTCCTGCTCTCCTTCCAAGCGCCATCTTTGGCCGGGATGCCCTTGGAGCGGGGATTTGGGAGCGGAGCTGGGGTGGCTTGGGGCAGGGGCTGAGCAGACGTGTCCTGGGCCCCCGGTAGGGTCCACAAGCGCCGGGCTGGCGGCCCCTGTGCCTTCGTCATGCTGGAGCTATTCCTAAACACGCTCCGGCACAGCCCTGGAAGCGGTGCCAGCCAGCTGGCTCTGTCCTGCCTACGGATTTCTCTTGCTCGTCCCATTTTCCTTTGCTGTCTTTGGCACCGCTTAAAGAACCTGCTCCAGGTTTTTGTTTGCCTTAACCCTCCCTGTGCCAAGCTGCTCCCGCTCTGTGCGGTCCCTGGTTTTGTGAGGTCCCTGGTTTTCGTGTCCCCCTCCCAGCAGCTGTCACCGGGTGGTGTGCTCCCGTCGAGGCTCCAATTCCTCCGGGCTCTTTTCTTTCCCTCCCTGGGGCAGAAATGCCCCTTCGTGGACCCCTCCCTGCTGCCACCCTGCGCTGCTCGGGGCTGTCCCTGAGGTCCCCTGAGGACACGGGGCTCCCTGGCCAATGTCTCTGCTGGCCAAGCCGGGGCTGGCACCGGGCTTCCCCCGGGCTCTGCCAGCCCGTGCAGTGTCGGGACATGTCGCTGTGGCGCTCGGTTCCCCGAGAGTGCCGCTCCTTTCCGTCATCACCTTTGGCTCGCAGCCGCCTTCGGGCTGGGCAGCGGCGGGACAGCCCCCTCTCGTTCCGTTTGATCTTTTGCCTCTTATTCTGACCTCCTCGTTTTGAGCCCGCACCAAATGAGGCTAAAATTAACTTCCTTAGCAGATGCCATAAATATTCTACCTGGGAGGGAGGGACTGTGCTGCCTGTTGGAGCTGTGCGCGTTTATATTTAGCTTTCGATTTCCCGTGCGCCGCTGCAGCTTCGTCCTCGGATAAAGGCGGTTTGCAGATCCCTGTTCCCGGATCCCGAGGATCCGGATGCTGCTCAGAGGAGGAGCTGAGCTGTCTCAAGGCTTTTTTCTGCCTTATGCAAACCCAGAACTATCTTGGCCGCGATCTTTCGAGGGCTGGAAAAAATGCCCGGCCCGCCGCCGCGGCTGGAGGGGAGCTGGAAACGGATGAGGAATTTTTCCCTGCGCTCCTGGAGCTGCTGTGCTTGTTCCTGGGCGCTGATAAATCCTCTGAAAGAGTGCTGTGACTCGAGGGGGTTCCCGGAGAGCGGCTTGTGCTCGAGCAATGGGTTTCGGTGGTCTCGGGGGGGCAGGGGTGTTTCCAGGGGTGTTTCTGTGTTGAGTCATCTCTGAGTCACGGCGGAGCGGAGATGCGGGGGAAGCCGCTGCTGTTCATTCCTGCCTCTGCTTTGTCCTGTGTTCTTAGGGCGCGGTGTGAGGGCTGCTCTGAACCCCAAAACCCTTTCAAGGAGGCTGCAGCTCATTTTGTGTCCCTGGGCAGCTGCCCGATGTGCCAGGGCTGCTCCCCAACCCCAAAACCCCTGTATGGAGGCTGTAGCTCCTCTTGTGTCCCTGGGCACCTGCTTGGTGTGCCAGGGCTGCTCTGAACCCCAAAACCCTTACAAGGAGGCTGCAGCTCATCCTGTGTCCCTGGGCACCTTCTCGATGTGCCAGGGCTGCTCCCCAACCCTAAAACCCCTGCAAGGAGGCTGCAGCTCATTTTGTGTCCCTGGGCACCTTCTCGATGTGCCAGGGCTGCTCCCCAACCCTAAAACCCCTGCAAGGAGGCTGCAGCTCCTCTTGCGTCCCTGGGCACCTTCTCGATGTGCCAGGGCTGCTCAGAGAGCAGCACAATCGGCTGCTGAGCTGCCATGCTCACTTTGATGGGGTGCCCCGAATTTTTGGGGCATGAGGGAACGAGCCCAGCCCCGCGGAGGGGTCAGAGCTGTTGGGGGGATCAGGATGGCCCCGTTCTGACGCCGTTCTCCTCCCTGCCATCCGCTTGGGCAGGGATGTGCCCGCTCTGCCGGCTCTCCCCGCCCATCCCGAGCATTTGTGTCAGCCCTGGGGCCGTTTCGCTGTCCTTGACTTTGGCTAATGAGTAACTGGCAGCGCTCTGCGCCCCTCGGCGTGCCCGGCAGCCCCGGAGAAGCGCGGGTATCTCCGGCAGGGCAGGCGCCCGGGGCTGCGTTATCAGCAGCCGCAGCATCGCCGCTGCCTGCTGCGGGGGTTGTCTCGGCAGCACAGAGGGAGGGTGGGGGGCCGGGATGCCAGGGCACGATGTGACACGGCCCCGGGTGCTGGGTGCTCTGTCTGGGGTGGGGAAAGAGCTGCTGGCTGCAGGGGGACGGGCTGTGCTAGCGCAGACCAGCCCAACCAGTAGCAGTGCGGGAGCTGCGTGGGTGGAGGAGGGTCTGAGAGGGGCTGGGCTGCCTCCCCTCTGCTCCTGCCTCCCCTCTGCTCCTGGCCAGCTGAGCTTCTCTCGGGAAGGTTTCCAGAGGGATCTTCCCACTGCCAGTGGTGATCCAGGGGGGGTTCCCCAAAGTGCCCAGCTGGCTCTTGGCACAGGGACCCTCAGCAGCCTGGTTCTGCTTGTGCCCCAGGACAAGGGACCCCTCTGGGCACTCCTGCCTGTCCTGTGTCCCCAGCTCTGGATGGCCTCTGGATGTGCAGTAGCCACGATTCAGACGAGGTAGAGGGTGTGGGGAGGGTGCCTGGTGACTCAGGGGTGCTGGCAACACCGGCATCATCCCCTCCCAGGCCACGGGTGGAGATAGGACCAGTTTGAAATGCCCCGTCCCTGGTGTCCTCAAGCTTCTGTCCCCTCCTTGGAGGGCCTGGATTCCAGCATGTCACCTCCATGGAGCTGGAGAGATGCTCTGGGAGACCTCCATGGAGTTGGAGAGCTGCTCTGTGCTGGGTCCTGCCCATTTCTCCCTCTCCTTAAGCTGCCTTCTGACTCACAGGGTGAGCAGAGCCACAGCCCTTGCCTTGCCCCATGGGAGTTCATCCCATCCCATCCCACAGAGCAAGCCCCAGCCTGGGGACACAGGGGGTGTAGAATACAGCCCTTGGCACCCTCAGTGCCAGGAGAGACCCCTGAGGAATTCGGTGTTCATGGTGAGGAGGGGCCATGTGGTGGGCACACCGTGACCGGCTCCCCTCTGCAGGCAGGAACCAGCCCTCGTTAGCAGCACCCTGATGAGCAATGCCTTCCTGAATTGCAGCCCCTAACCTGATTAAGGCATTGCCTTGGCAGAGCCTCTTCCTCCTCCCTGGCTCTAATGAGGACAAATCTCCTTTTTCCCAAGCGTTGTTGTGGAGGGGGAAGCACATCCAAGGGCAGAGCCACTGGGGTGCCAGGAGGAGAACGCCACAAGCCTTCCCCAGCCCAAGGGGGTTTTGCCCCTTGTTTTGTGACCCTGCAGGCAGGAGCAGGTAAATAAAACCTGTTTAATTGAAAAAAGGGAGGAAAAAGAATTAAAGCTCAGTGCTGCTGGTGGGGGGGAGGAGGGGACCATGCCCTTCAATGAGCTTGTGCTGGAACATTTTGCGTGGGGTGAAACCTCAGGCTCCTGGGCTTCTCCCCCGTCTGCCTCATGGGATCCCTGCCAGGGAGGGAATGCTTTGGCTGGGAGGAGGCTTTGCCCTTTCTGAGCAAACAAAGAGCAGCTTGTGCAGCTGGGGATGCTTTGGGGGGAGTCATCAGCACGGGGCTGGGCTGATCCAGACCTCCGTGGCCCTCTGGGACCCTCTTGAGCATGCCAGCCCCCCTGAATCTCCAGCCCTGGGTGTCCCCTGGCGTGTGCAGCCTGCAGCTGAGGGTGGCTGGGCGTGCTGGCCCTCCTGGCACGCTGCAGGGCTCTGTGGCAAAGCGTTTCTTCCAGGAGAAGGTTTTCATTAGCTGTTCCCAGTGGAGAGGAATTCTTGCCTGTGCAAACATCCAGCCCCTCTTTTTTCCAAGAAAAAGCTGTGGCAGAGAAACGTGCTCCAGCAGTTTTGGTTTGTGACCTCGCTCCCACTGCTGTGTTTGCCAGTGTCTCAGCTCATCCCCTCACCTTTCCCAGCAATGAGGGGAGTCAGGGGAAATCCTGTTGTCTCATATGTATTTAGGATGAAAGGATCCACTCTGGAAAATTAAGGACCTTTTCTTTGGAGCTGGGGGTTAAAGAGAAGTGATTGCCAAGAGAGTCAGGGCTGTGTTTGGTGCGGGAAGGGATCCATCCCAGCCTGCCTGGTCTCACATGCTGCCACAAGTGCTTTTTCAGCCTTGCACGTGCCACTTGACTTGTCTGAGTCCCATTAACACTCACACTCCAGAGCCCAGAGAACGGGGAGTTCCCTGTGTGGTGCTCAGGGAGGCAGACAGAGAAGGTGACACAGCCAGGGTGGGACATGTGGGACGCCTGCCAGCTCCTTATTCTGCTGAATTCATGCCCTTTGGGAGGGGTAGCTTCCTTTTGTGCTGCTGGCAGCCAGGAAAGGAGGAAGTCACCAGAGTTGTCCCTCTGCTCCTGGCCAGAATTAGAGCTGTGGTGGAGGATTCCCCAGGAAGCGTCAGCCCAGTGGGCTCAGGGAGAGCTGGGAATCGCCTCCCGCTGCCCTGCCACTGGCTGCATTACCTGTTTCACCATCCTGCTCCTCTCTGTGAGGTTGTCTGCTGAGCCTGTTCCTTTGTGACCAGCTCAGCACGTTCCCAAACAGCTGAGGCTGTGTTAAACCTGTCCCTGCTGACAGCTGCTATCAGTGTGGTGTCAGGGCTTGGTGCCCCCCTGCCTCTGCTCCCTGCCCAGGGCTGAATGTCCCCAGTGTGAGGCTGAACAACTGTGGGGGCTGGCGTGGTCCCCCAGCCCTGCCTGGTGCAGGGGCAGCTGCAGCCCTGACTGCAGAAACCTC